AATTAAAACTTTGCAATTTCCCAAATGTGACAACTGCAACTCGTCAACAAACAATGACAACGACAATGTCAGGATGAGGTTGATGATGAAGAGTACAATAAAAATGGAGATGATTTTAGAAAGTGATGATGACATCTAGATACATATAATGCATTAAACTATTGGTTTTTTTAAATGAACATTAAAAACGCCTGGATGCAGTAAAAGACAGTAAAATATAGAAAGCAAACAAATTAATTAAATAGTCATTTTTAGGCAAACTCTGTGTTGAAGAGACGATTGATGTTGAAAGAAAAGTTTGTACAGAAATATTAAAAAACTGGTGGGCGACCCGAGAACACAACTAAATGTGATAAAGAAAAAATAAATGCATAAAAACTTTGGTTAAAATAACAGCAACTGATTTCAACAGAGAAACGGTTATTGAATGACAAAGAAAAGTGAGGATACAGCTTTCGGAAAAGAGGGAAAGGTCTGCTTGAGCTGGTTGTTTTTTGCTTGGTTGTTCTTTTTTCCTGCTTTCGTTTTTGTTTTTGTTTTCGATGATAATACCGGAAACGATTAGGCAACTAAGTTATTTCCGACTGGCTGTATTCGGTACAAATAAATTTTTTTTTGTTCTCTTACTTATTGATTCATTTGACGTTATTATTGAATGGATTCTATGTTCTGTTTGTTGTCTGAACATTTTTCCAACTGACTAGGAGCCTCAGTGTTGCTGTTGCTGGTGCTAATATTGGCTCAGAAAATATCCTCAATGTCTGAGGGGGTTCACTGGGCTTAATGTTTGTATTTTGTTCCATGTGTCTGGAAGGCGACTATGTAGAATGCTGTTTAACTTTTTCGATAAGAAGAACTAGTGGTGAAGGATAACGACGAACATCCGTCTAAATGTTGTGATTCCTTTCCCCGGTAGAAAACCACTGATTTAATATGGTAAAATGTAAACTGGTGGAGAAAGAGGATTGGAGCGAGTTGTATTGGACTAGGAGACGATTGTGAGCGGCGAACGGTTTTTTAAGAATTAGCTCGTTATATATTGAGCATTAAATTCATTGTATTGGTGTGGATATATGTTTTGTTCCATGTGTCTCAAAGACTTCTGCATATAGTGCTGTATAACTATTTTAGCAGGAATAAGGACAAGAAAAGTAAAGCAGAGTAAGAAAAAACCCTTTGTTTTATAAAGAATAATCAAAAAATTGAGGGGAAAACCTAGTGGAAATAGAAGTTGGAAAGGAAACAGAAAAAAAAGAAAATTTTTTCCGTATTTGACTCATTTACTGTCGTAAAATAAAGATGCAAGAAATTCAGACAACCAGCAGAACGAAGCAACAGCGACTGCGTTTTTCTGATGACGTTATAAATTCGGAATTTTACTGTTCGTCTGCAGTGCAGATGAAGAAGGGGACCGGGAGGAAATCGAGAAAGCATTGATATTTACCAAACATGCATGGTTTTTTAAATTAACTTGCTATCTGTTTTGTCACTGCTCGCAGCGTTACATCTTTCTCGTCTTTCCTCACTGAACATTTTTGCTGACATCTGTTTCATCAAAAAGTTGTTTGCTATTCAAATGCATTTTTCTCGGTGACGTTGATAGATGGATAGCAAAAAAAAAAAAATTTGTTTTTCTTTATTTCAAAAGACTTACATTCTTTTTTGGACGAGTAATTACATGAATTATTACTGTCATCATTGTTATTGGAATTATTATTATTATTATTATTAATATTATTATCATTATTATTATTATTATTATTATTATTATTATTATCATTATTATTATTATTATTATCTATTATCTATTATCTATTATCTATTATTATTATTATTATTATTATTATTATTATTATCTTTCCATTATTATTAATGGTAATAGTAGAAGTACTACTAACATGATAGACTGTTAAAATGATGTTCTTGATTACAAACTGGCAAAACCTTCTTCTCCAGACAAGTATTACAACCATTTGTCTAGTACTTCTTTTAAGAACAATTTCTTGGATAATGAAAAAGATAGTACAGAAGCAAAGTAAGGTGGAAGAAAAAAAAAGAAGAAATAAAAGAAAACTCTATTGTCTTATTTGTCAATAATGGCAACTAAAATTATATCCAAAAAATTCGTTTTTCCATTTCCATTTGATATAATAACAGAATTATTCCTTTAAAACAATTTTAAAATGTCACCGGTTGATCAGAACAAAAAAAAAA